TTCGCCAGGATAATTTTTTTCGGGGTGGGGGCGGGGGGGAACATCTTTTTGTTCCAACCATCCTGTGGTGTTGGGTCCTCGTTTTGAAGAGACGGCACCCCGCGTTCCTCCTGTCCTCTTCCTCCTCCTCCTCCTCCTCGTCCTCCTCGTCCTCCTCCTCCTCCTCCTCCTCCTCCTCCTCCTCCTCCTCCTCCTCCTCCTCCTCCTCCCCCTCCTTGCCTTTGCTCTCCGCATGTCTCTGTTTCGGTACACCCCTCACACGTTTCGCTGCTCCCTAGGGAGCTCCACCTAAGGTCCCAGTGGCGACTCGCATGGCGGCCTCGGGCCATTTCGGCACACCCCTCACACGTTTCGTGGCCCCATAGGGAGCTCCACCTAAGGTCCCAGTGGCGGAACTCGCATGGCGGCCTCGGGCCATTTCGGTACACCCCTCACACGTTCCATGGCCACATAGGGGGCTCCACCTATGGTCACAGTGGCGGAACTCGCATGGCGGCCTCGGGTCACTTCGGCACACCCTTCACACGTTTCGTGGCCCCATACGGAGCTCCACCTATGGTCCCAGTGGCGGAACTCGCATGGCGGCCTCGAGCCGTTTCGGCACACCCCTCGCACGTTTCGTGGCCCTATAGGGAGCTCCACCTGAGGTCCCAGTGGCGGAACCATTTCGGCACACCCCTCACACGTTTCGTGGCCCCATACGGAGCTCCACCTACAGGTCCCAGTGGCGGAACTCGCATGGCGGCCTCGGGCCATTTCGGCACACCTCTCACACGTTTCGTGGCCCCATAAGGAGCTCCACCTATGGTCCCAGTGGCGGAACTCGCATGGCGGCCTCGAGCCATTTCGGCACACCCCTCACACGTTTCGTGGCCCCATAGGGAGCTCCACCTAAGGTCCCAGTGGCGGAAGTCGCATGTCGGCCTCGGGCCATTTCGGCACACCCATCACACGTTTCGTGGCCCCATAGGGAGCTCCACCTGAGGTCCCAGTGGCGGAACTCGCATGGCGGCCTCGGGCCATTTCGGCACACCCCTCACGAGGATCGTGGCCCCATAGGGAGCTCCACGGAAGGCCCTAGTGGCAGGGTTCGCATGGCGGCCTCGGGCGATTTCGGCACACCCCTCACGAGGATCGTGGCCGAGCTCGATTGAAGGCGCCAGTGGCAGGGTTCGCATGGCGGCCTCGGGGCATTTCGGCACACCCTTCACGAGGATCGTGGCGCCATAGGGAGCTCCACCGAAGGCGCCATTGGCAAGGTTCGCATGGCGGCCTCGGGCCATTACGGCACACCCCTGACGAAGATCGTGGCCCCATAGGGAGCTCCACCGAAGGCGCCAGTGGCAGGGTTCGCATGGCGGCCTCGGGCCATTTCGGTACACTACTCACACGTTCCATGGCCCCATATGGAGCTCCACCGAAGGCCCCAGCGGCAGGGTTCGCATAACGGCTTCCGGCCATTCCGGCACACCCCTCACGAGGATCGTGGCTTCATGGGAGCTCCACCGAAGGCGCCAGTGGCAGCTTCCCTCATGGCTCTCAGAGCCCTCTCCTGCTTCTGCTCCTCGCTCAGGGGGGCGCCGTCCTCGTCGTCGTCGGCGCCCACGAAGACGGCCGCGAACGTGTCCCTGAGCATGTCGGGCTCTGGCGGGAAGCCGTGGCCACATAGGGGGCGTGGGCGAAGATGGTATGCACAATTGCGGTATTCACAACTGCGTGTGGTTTGGGTCTTTCGCCAGGCTTTTTTGTATTTACAAACGGTTTAATTATTATTTTCGGTTTAAAGGTAAAATATTTTATTACTAAACATATAAGCAGGACTATATTCAAGAGTAATCTAGTTGTAAATCGCCAACAAAAGAAATCCGATTGAAAAGCCGCACACAGGGATTTTATGTGTAATCCACATAACAGAAATGTTGTTTGTAATCCGCTGACAATTCAATTCCGAGTGAAAAGCGACGCAGAAGGATTCGAGTTGTAATCTACACAAAAGAAATCAAGTATCAAATTGCCCGCACACAGGGAATTTCTCTCAATGGAGGCCAAACAGGATGTTGAATCCCTGAAAGAAAAAACAAAAATAACAGACAATTATCCCCCGTCCACTTCTTTTTTTCGGGGGCGGGCCGGGCGCGAGAAAAAAACGCATTGACGGGGCGACGGTTATTCGTTTTTTTTAGCTCCCCCCCAGAGGGTCCAGAGCTTTCTTCTGGCCCCTTTCAAAGGAAATCTTGTTGCGGGCGATTTACACCATGATTCCGATAGTGTGGATTCCATCTGGAATCATTTTGTGCGCCTTTTTCTATATGTTTCTTTTCTAGTGGGTGATTTTCGAGTTGATACCTATTGTGCGGATTGCACATCGAATCCTTTATGTGTGGCTTCTCAGTAGGATCCCTTGTCTGGGCGATTTGCAATTCGATTTTCATTGTATGGATTACGCGGTAAATTCCCGTTGTGCGACTTTGCAGTAATATTCCTTTTGTGGGGGACTCACACATTGCGTGCATTACACATAGAACCCCTGTGTGCGACTTTCCAGTCGGGTTTCTTTTTTGTGGAATGTTTAAATATTAAAGTCTCTTGTGTGAATTCATGTCCATTCTTTATCGGAGCTGCTTTGCAGGCGGCTTATACTTGAATCGGATTTTTTAGACGTAGATCGCATCCACTTTACTCGAATTCCATGAACAGTGGCTCCGCCCCTAATACTATTCTATTAGAGGTGGCTCCGTTCCCAATGGGATTCGAATAGCAGTGGATCCACTTCTAATGCGATTATGCACCAGGTGTTTCCATCCTTTATGCAACTCTTTGAGAGGTGGGACCACCTCTAATGGGATTCTATTAGAGGTGAATCCACCTTACATGCAGTTCACTTACCCGTGGCCCCGTCCATAAAGGGATCCCAGCAGAGGTGGTTCCACTTCGCATGGGGTTCTATGAGAGCTGAGTCCTTCCCGGATCCGATTTTATTACACATTGCTTCCTGCCTAATGGGATTTTAACAGAAGTGGCTCCACCTCTAGTCGCAGTCCATGAGCAGTGGATCCATCCCTGATATGGCTCCGCATGGCTCAGCAGGTTACCAAGGTGCTGGCAGAGCTTAGCAAGGCTAGCAGGCTTTAGCAATTATTGGCAAGTCGGAGCAGGGCATATCAGGCGCTAGCAGAGCCTAGAATGGCTTGGTCGGGCCTGTCAAGGCTTCGCTGGGCTTGACAGTTGGCTAGCAGAACTTATCAAGGCTCAGCAGAGGACCAGCAGGGCTTCGCCGCGCTTGGTAGTGCTTGGCAGGGCGTTGCTAGACCTCGCAGAGCTCAGCAGGGGCCAGCAGGGCATAGCACGGCATCGTAGTGACTAGCAAGGCTCAGCGGGGCAAGGCGAAGCAGCGATTAGCAACAGCTTAGCAGGGCTAGTCATGATTCTATCAACGGTGGTTCCATTCCCCATATGATTCAAATCGAAGTGTATCCACGTCTAGTACAATTATATTCCAGGTGCTTCCATCTTCTATGCAACTCTATTGGAGGTGGATCCACCTCTGCGAGGGTTCTCTTAGAGGTGACGCCACACTGCGTGCAATTCAATTACCCGTGACCCCGTCCATAACAGGATCCCCTTAGTGGTGGATTCATCTCCCATGGGAATCTATTCAAGCTCAGTCTTTCCTTGGTCAGATTTTATTGCAGATTGTTTTATCCGGAAGAAGATTCTGTTAGAAGTGCATCCTTTTCTGATCGGCTTTCATTAGCAATGGGTTCGTCCATGATGATATTCAATGTGTTGTGGCCCCGCATGGCTTATCAAGCATCGCGTGGATTAGCAGGTTATCGAGGTGCTGGCAGAACTTAGCAGGGCTAGCAGGTGTTTGGACATATTGGCAGGTCCCAAGCAGGGCATATCAGGGGCTTGCAGTGCTTGATAGGGCTTATCAAGGCTTAGCTGGGCCTGGCAGGTGGCTGGCATCATTTATCAGGGTTCAGCAGAGGGCCGCAGTGCTCAGCAGTGCCCAGCAGGGTTCGGCTATGCCTAGCAGGGCCTAGCAAGGGGCCAGCGGGGCTTAACACGGCATCGCCGTGACTATTCACAGGTGGTCTTCGGGATCCGGGATTCTACTAGAGGTGATTCCATGTCCAATAGGATTCCAATGGAGATGGGTCCTCCTTTCATTGTATTTTTGATGCTTCGCGACCCCACCAGCCAATCCAGAAACGATGCCCATGAGAGCTGACGGGGGAGAGAAGAAGAGGCACGCATAGTGAAACAACGAGGGGGGTTTGGGAGATCCCGTGGCCATCTCGAGCCGTCTTGGAGCGGTTTTGGGGCCGTTTGGAACATCTTGGGGGCCATCTTGAGCCAGCTTGGGCTATCTGAGCCTGAGCCATCTTGGAGGTCATCTTGGGCTCTTTGAGGCCGCTCGGGGGCGTTTCGGGGGCCTTTTGGGGGCCTCTTCGGGATCTCTTGGAGGCTTCTTGGGGCTTCTTGGGGCGCTCTTTGGGCCCTGTTGGGGCTCTTATTGGAACCTTGGATACCCTCTTGGGGGCATTTTGGAGGCTATCGATCAAAAGGGGCGGTTCATTTATCTCCGCCCCTCCCCTTGGGGGCCACGATCCTCTTGAGGGGTGGCAGAAAATGGCCCTCCCAGGGGCCAGAAAACAAACGTTCTGACTCGTCGCGACCCTTTCCCAAAAGAAACCTCAGGGAGGGGAGGGGTAGGGTCCCCCTCCCCGAAAAGAAGAGGTTGTGGAAGAGGAAAGAGACCCTCGTTAGACCACCTGTCGCCCAAAGGATTCTATTCCAGTTGGTTTCATCCTTAATCGGTTTCTATTGGAGGTCGGCCCATTTCCAATGGTATTCTAGTAGAGGTGGACCCACCTTGACTGGATGTTTCTTTGTACACCGCGTGGAGGAGGGAGGAGGGAGGAGGGAGGAGGGGGAGGAGGAAAAGTAGCAGGGGGAGGAGGATGGCAGTCTGGGTGTCCTTCTGCCTCCGGCAGGAGGGCGGGGCGGCGGGCGGCTTTGCCGCCGGCAGCACGCTGCCGGCGGGGAGGTGCCAGAGCACGTCGAACCCCTTCGGCTGAGCGCTGGGCGGGCGCCCGCGCGTGCTCTGCGGCGGCGCGCCGCCCTGAGATCTTGGCGTTCCCCGACAGATAGTCTTTGGTTCCCTACCTAGGCTCTGGCTAGAAGGGTTCTTAAAGGGCCGGGCAGTGGTCCCCACCCCGGGCGGTTCCCCCAGCATCCGCCCCGCGGTTCCCCCAGTTGCGCCCCCTGGGTTCACCCAGCTTAGCTTAGCTTAGCTAAGCTTAGCTTAGCTTAGCTTATCTCATCTTCGCTTAGCTTAGCTTAGCTTTGCCTAGCTTCGCTTAGCTTAGCTTAGCTTAGCTTAGCTTAGCATATCTCATCTTAGCTTAGCATATCTCATCTTAGCTTAGCTTAACTTAGTTTAGCTTAGCTTAGCTTAGCTTAGCGTGGCTTAGCTTAGCTGAGCTTAGCTTAGCCTAACCTAACTTAGCTTAGCTTAGCTTAGCTTAGCTGAGCTTACCTTAACCGTCGCTTAGCGCAGCGCAGCATAGCGCAGCGCAGCATTGGCACAGCATAGCATAGCATAGCATAGCCAAGCACAGCATATCATAGCATAGCTCAGCTCAGCTCAGCATCTCATAGCATATCATAGCATAGCATAGCGCAACATAGCATAGCATAGCAAAGCATTGCTTAGCATAACACAGCGCATCATAGCATAGCATAGCATAGCATAGCATAGCATAGCATAGCATAACATAACATACCCTAGCCTAGCCTAGCCTAGCCCAGCATAGCATTGCGCAGCATGGCATAGCATAACATAGCATAGCAGAGCATAGCATAGCATAGCATAGCATAGCGCAGCACAGCATCCACTATTGCTGCTGCTAATGTTGCTTTCCTAGAGGCTCCAACTCCTAGGTAGGATCGCACTGGGATAATTTGTTTCGTAGATTCCTGGCGGTTCGTCGGATCCTGGCGGAGATCGTGAAAGATCAGGGGCAACGATAGGGGGGATAGGCATAGGGGGGCAGCGATAGGGTCGGGAGGGTTCGAGGTTCGGGTTCGAAGTTCGAGGTTTCCGGGCGCCCTCGCCGATTTTTGGCGGCCTTCCAGCCTTGGGGTGCCTTCCAGCAGCCGCGCCTCGCCGAGAGCGTTCCGGGGGTGCGCCTGGACCGTCCCGACCGGCCGCCAGAGACCCGAGTGATGACCCGAAAGCCTCAGGGGACCGGGTCGACCCTGGGACCCGGGCGTCGCATTTTTTTCACAGCTCCTGCTCCTCCTCCTCCTCCTCCTCCTCCTCCTCCTCCCCCTCCTCCTCCTCCTCCTCCTGCTCCTCCTCCCCCCTCCTCCTCCTCCTCGGCCCGCCCAGGCGCTCGGCGGGCGCCTCGCCGCTCGCCGAGCGGCACCGCCCACGGCCATCCGGGGGCGAGGGGCCGAGCGCCGGGGACGATTCTGCCTCGTGTCGGGCCCCAGGCCCCCCACGACGGCTCGATCCGACTCGACAGCTGCCGCAGGAAGGTGTGGTCCAGGGCCCCAGCCGTTTGGATGCAGCTCCTGGGGGGTCAAATTCTGACTTCGTCCTGGTCCGAAATCCTATCGAGTCCCGCTTGAGCCCGCTTGATCTGGCTTCATCCCGCTAAGTCTGGCCTAATCCCGCTTAATCAGCGGCCTAGTCTGGCGTAGCAGCTCCCCAATGAGGCTTAATTCTCCTCCATCCTTCCGACAAAGACCTTCCAGCAGTTGCCTCCCAGCAGCCGATTTTTTGACGATGTCGCAATTTTCGTATTGCAGTCTTGTGCGACGAGGCCTCACATCCTGGCGCCACGGTGCGACCGCCCAAAACTCGCCCCCGGAGGCGTGCGCTTGCATGTCCGAGCCGCTCGATCGTGACCCGACGGAAGACATATTCGTCGATCGTTGAAAATTCATTTGCCTTCCTACTTCAAGAATCGATGTGCTTTTGCGGTGTTCTGTTACTCTCTGGGAGGGCCTGAACCCAGTCTACCTTCTCAGCCTCCCTACTTTCTATATTTTTGCCCACTTCGTCCGACCGACGTGCAGTTGGACCATGGCCACGATGCCGTGAGATCTTGTCGATGCCGCTCTTGGTCATGGTACATGTCGGCCGTCGCCGATATTCGCGAGGAGGATCCACGAAAGGACGCCGAGCGAAAAATCGGCGGTGACCAGGATCGGCACGACGCTTCCCCGCTCCGTCTCGGTCATGGCCCCCGCTTTTTTTCTTCCCCTCCAGTTGCGTCGTCACGTTACATCTTCGGGCGGACCTCGTCCGTCCCCCCAACTCGGTGTCCTTCCTTGTTCCCGACGTGGGCTCTCGGTGCGGACTCGACGCGGAACTGGCGGAATCCGACCCGCATTCGACACGGACTCGACGTGGATTTCGACGATCACGACACGGATTCGGCGCGGCTTCGGCGCAGATATGGAGGGTCGCGACGGGACAGAGCAGGTCCCAAGAAGATGCAGCACAATCGTCGGATCTCAGGGTGAGAGGGGTGCCGCCAGTGATGATGGACCCATTTTCCACCACCACTACCACAGCTAGGAGAGGGAGGAGGAGGAGGAGGAGGAGGAGGAGGAGGAGGAGGAGGAGGAGGAGGAGAGTAGGAGGAGGAGGGAGGAGGAGGAGGAGGAGGAGGAGGAGGAGGAGGAGGAGGAGGAGGAGCTGGAGGAGGAGGAGGAAGAGGAGGAGGAGGAGGAGCTCCTCATCCTCCCTTCGCCCCCGTCCTGCATCTGGTGGTGATGGCGGAAACTTTGCCCATCGAGTGAGGCGGCCTCCGACGAGGCCTCCCCTCGGAAGCCTCTCTGGCCCTTGCCGAGGGGGCCCCCCCGCGGCGTGCTCGGGGGGCACGGCCCGCCCCGCGCCCGCGAGCCCGGGCTCGCGGGGCTGGCGCCGCCGAGCTCGTCTGCGGGCGCGGGGGCTGGCCGCAGCTGCGAGGCTGGGCGTTGCTAGAAGCGCTCCCCCTCCTCCTCCTCCTCCTCCTCCTCCCTCCTCCTCCTCCTCCTCCTCCTCCTCCTCCTCCTCCTCCTCCTCCTCCTCCTCCTCCTCCTCCTCCTCCTCCTCCTCCTCCTCCTCCTCCTCCTCCTCCTCCTCCTCCTCCTCCTCCTCCTCCTCCTCCTCCCCCCCCTGGCCCAAGTTGCCCCATCGGCTGCACTCGAAGACGAGCAAGAACTGCATAAGCATAAACCTTCGTCGCTCCGCGCGGATCTCTCGGATCGGCGCCGGGACCCCCCTGGCGGCGCCTCCGGTACCGCCCCTGGCGCGCTCCGCGCGCCACGGAGGGGGGTCCAGCGCAGATCCGAGAAATCCGCGCGGACAGTCGAACGTTTATGTTTATGGCGTTTTTTATCCTTCGGTGCACGTGCAGTCAAACCGCATAGTAAGGACAAGCGACTTTCCAGGGTTATCCTTGCAGCTTTCCCCTTCGGCCGATCCTTTGCCACTTTCGCTGGCCGCGCCCCGCCCGCAAAGTGCCGACATGCGCAAAGTGCCGACATGGCCCTCCAAGGCCCTTGCATCCTTCTCGTGTGTCCCCTTCTGATTCGGGTCGACTGTAAGAGTGACCTTTCGCCAGAGTGACCCTTGGTGTGGGCGCACGGGGGGCCCCCAGATGGCGGAATGCAGTGCGATAGCGGCGTCTCGCGCGCTCGTGTTCGGCCCCCCCCCCCGCGGCCCCCCCAGAAGCCGCGCACCGAAGGTCGCTCTTGCCCCGGGTCACTCGTGCGCGTGGCCGACCCCAGGACTCCCGAGGAGAGCTCCACGGCCTCCAGAGCGCCCCTCACGAGGCCCAGGGGGGCCCAGGGGCTCCCGAATGGCGCGGAGCGCTGGGGGCACCTCGGGCCATGGGCGCCTGCTTCAGCAACCCCCGGTGCGAGAGCCGGGGAGCACGGAGGGCGGGAAGGGACGGGGTCAGCCTTGGGTTCCTTTTGATTCTTGTCAAGACACCCCCACTCTAAGTTCGGGTAGGCATGCCCAGAACGACAGTTGCCCAGAACGACGGTGCAGCCGGACCGAGGTAATTATAAGCTCGAGGTCGGTTCGGGGAGGGTGCCCTAATGTTCTCCGTGCTTGTTGGGTGCTCTTGTGCATCCTGGGGAAGGTACCCTTGGATAGTCTGTGTGGTTTGGCCTGCGGAGGGTCCCATGTTCATTTTGTCCTAGGTACGACTGTACCCGAAACGACCGCACTAAACTCGCTGGCTGAGGCATGGCCCGAAGAATTTGCGTATGGGGTGCTAGCGTGCACTTCTTACGCACGCCCAGCGATCCCACACACACACCCGCATTACGCACGCAGGCCAAGTTTGGTCCCCCAGAGTCTTTAGACGATCAAAGGGAATTCAGGAGCAGTCCTGCTTCACTCCCACTCGAGTGCACAGCACTTGAGGTAGCTTGTGGCTTGGTGGCATCACTCTTGCGTCGCCGAGCTCGTCATCCTGCTGTGTTCGCTCCATCGAGAAAAGAGTGGGAAAGGGCGGGGACGGGGTGGGCGGGAGGGAGGGGCAGAGGTAGGGCAGTGATCACCAGACCGTCCGGGCCATTCGCGTCGGGGCTCTCTCTGGGGGCATGTTCTGTCGATCCTGGAAGGTATCCAGCTGACTGCGGCAAACCCCGCCAGCGCGCCTGTGCAACAGCGTAACAGGAAGGATTTGAGCTCTTAACGCTTCGCGTATCCCCACCAGCCCATCCAGGAACGGTGCCCAGGGGAGCTGCCCTTATCGGGGGAGCGTGGCATCGCGGGGAGTCTGCACGGGCCAGAGGTTGCTTGGATGCTTCTCGGATGGGAAGGTCTCTCGGGCTCCTCTTGGCGGCCTCTGGTAGGGCGTGTTGGGGGGCTCCAGCTGGCTCTTGGGGGCCTCTTGGACGCCTTGAGGGCCCTCTTGGACGCCTATTGGGGCGTCTTGGGGGCCTCGTGCCGGTCTGCAGAGCCTCTTGAGACGTCTTGGGTGCCTCTTGGGTGCCTCTCGGGGCCTCTTGGGGGCCGCTTGGGGGCATTTTTGGGGCTTCTTGGGGGTCTTTTGGAGGTCTCTTG